CAAACACTATAAACTCAAACCTACCTACGATGAAGTTTGTAAGGCGGCGGGTATTTGAGGGATTATTTCACGGCCAACGCTCTTCATTTCATGTCGTGGGCGTCAGGTGATTGACAGGAAGCGGAGCATAATCACAAAGCATGTCAGCAATCGGTGACAAGTTCTGTCTCCAACCATGTCTACTCTGTGCCACGCCTCGTTCATCCAGTCAAAGAGCCTGAAAGGTTCTCTTGTCCAATTAATTAAAAGACTTGGAATATGAATGTGGTGAAAAAAGGACAAAAGCAAATGGAGGTTTTTGTATTGACTGTGTGGATTATCTGTTGCTGTGGAAGATGTTTTTTAGATGACACAAACTGCTACTTTGTATAGAAAACCAGTAAAAAGGATGAATAAACATGAGGGGGACCTTGGACAATTTCTGTTGTACAAAGACTTTCTTCATATTTTCTGCAGCTGCACAGCTTCTGACAAATGCCTGCAGTTGTGTAATGTTGCATAATGTCACTGCTACTGCATAATCTCTCTGGTAATCAACTAAGATTTAAACCTAAAACAGCAAGAGTCTCTTGGTAGTTGTAACCAGAACGTAAGACTGCTATAATCAATATTTTTTAAACAGTGCTGCTCATAGTGATGAAACCACAGAGAATTATCAGCAGTTCCCCTAAATACGTAAAACACATTACCATATCAACCAGTGTCAGATGTCAGTGTAGTAGCTGGTTCCTACTACTGTGTATCAGTTCCTGTTGCGTTGCATTATGAATTCCATGCAGTCGATAAAATAAACCAATCCTCTCTCTCTCTTTCTTGTCAAACAATACGATATGTGGTTGACCCCAGCTTCCCACAAGAAGCCCGGGTTAGACCAGCAAAGGAAAGATTTAGACCACTGTCACCGTTTAGCAGCCAAATCTGTTGAGGTCCGTAATTCATGGTTACATCACTCCTACATCGTATGCTAAGCGTGTGTGTTGTGTGTGTGTGTGTGAGAGGCGGTTGCGAAGGACTACGCTACTGCTGAACTGGGTCGTGGGTAACACGTTGCTATGGCAACTGCTATTTGCCAGCCCTGGGGCCAAGAACTGCTTTTCGCTTACACTTTCTCTCTCTCTGTGTTCTTTTCTCTGTTCTTCCTCGCTCGCTCTGCCTCTTTCTTCACCTTCTTCGCTCTTTTTCCTCTTCCCTTTGTTCCTCTGCTCCACTTTATATCGATCACTTGCTTGGTCTTCCTCTCCATTCACCTCTGCTTTCCCGTTTCTCTCTTATACTCCTCGCTCATACCAGCGTTCCCTCTCAGTTGTTCTTCATCTGCCTCTCTCATCCCTCCTTTTTGTCGTTGTCTATATGGAAAAAAACAAAACTACTACTAGAGCAGGAATCTATTAACATTATCTTGCTGTCACCCTTAGCTGCAAATTGAAATCCTAATTTAAGCAAGGGAACATTTTAAAGTTTTGTCCTGCAGGCCGCTACAGCGCTTTTAGAAGGAGAACAAGCTTTAACTGCGGGGGATGTTAATCCGTAATTGCAGTTCTTGTCTGTCAAATTATTTCCTTTTCTGTCGCTTGACAAAATTAACAGAAATCCTCAAATCTTTTGTTCTTTCATATTGGTGAGCCGGTGTTCAGGCTCCTTCACAGGCAGCCTGTAAAATGCTCCCACATCCTGATGCATCGCCTTCGGTCTGAGATTGTTGAGATGATATATGATACAACATCGTAACAGGAGCGTAACATATTGTCTTAGTGATTAACTCCAGCCGGCTCAATGTAAGTACAGTGTGGGCATGCAGTCATATTTCAAAGAGAGAGCAGAGAAGAAGACAAGCGGGGCAGAGACAAGAGGTAGCGAGATGCAGTGAGGTATAAAACGAGAGCAATGGGCCAGCCTCGGTGTGTCACCTAAATTCTCCTCTAATGAATAGTCCATTGATTTCCATTAGGGCTGGCTGGAGCTGACCACTCCGGCCTGTCTGTTTCCCATTAGCGCACTTTAAAAACTGAGGCTGACAAACAGTCGTAGCCACAGGCGGGACCAGACGAGGGGCCCCTGTTCAGCGTTTAAAAGAAACCTGTGAATTCATCCATGAAGCTGCATGGGGCCAGGAAGAAGATTGAGTTAACAGCAGAAATAATGTGAGCTTTAAATACCAGTCTCTGAGCACAATCTGCAAATAGTCTCCTTTTCCCCACCTTGATAAGAGGTATAGTAAAAGTCCATGACTGTCGAGATAACATCACCTGGAAATTCTTGTTTTGCATTTGAATAGGCAGGATTACCACATCTCGCTGGCAGGTTTAATTCTCTTCTTTAAATAAAAGGGACAGAAAGACTAACATACTAAATTACCTGTAGAGATTGACCTTTTATAGCAGGATGGAGTGTCAGTGCAGAGCAGCTTTTAAACAGCCTCCCGGTCGTCATTGTATCGACCAGGGAGTCCATTGCAGCCCCCCTTTCCCTCCCCCTGAGGCCTGGCCTGTTTCTCAGCTCAGGATTTTTAGAGCCATCCAGTCTTATCAGCTCCACCTCTCTATCAGCCCGCTTCCTTCATTAACATTAATAGGATTTGGATCTATTATGCAACGAGCCTCCGCTCAGTTACGCAACACAGAGTCTTCAGCAGCAGCAGCAGCACTCTTTGGAGGGAAGCAGTTACATCTTAAATTTATTGCGTGGGTTTTCATTCACTCAGACAGGGAGAGGAGGGGTTTTCAATATGGGCCAGTACATGACCCCACACTGAGGTCAGAGACTTTAATATTGAGCCTCAATAAACAGAGGCACTAAAGAAATTAAATAACATGCAGCATGTAAATTACCAGCTGCTTGCCAATAATCACAAGAAGGTAAATCGTACAATCTGGTGACTGGGTCCACAAATGAAGTTGCAAACTTGACTAAACTTTCTGAATAGAGTTTATTTTGTTTGGTACATTTTATGAAACTTTGCAAAATTGTCCTATTCAACAGACACACAACTTTTCCAAACCAACTCTCCCTTTGCTGCACATAGGCCTAAAGAAGAGACTATAGCCAAGCTAGCAGCTCTGAGGTTGGACTTAGGCACAGAGGTTCTTTGAGCTAAACACTAACATCCTCACAATGACAATGCTAATATGCTTATAAGTTAAATTTTGACCACATGATGGCACTAGATGAAGTCCCACCTACAGTGAAGTAGGAGACATTTTGTGTCCAGCAGGAAAACTTTAGAGATGAACAAAATTAGCATATTCATACATTCTTAATTTTTTAATAAGGTAGAGGGAGTAGATGCCTTTTTAAGGAATTATACTTTGCAACAAAAAAAAAACATATCAGACACACATTATTGTTCCAAGCACACTATTTATGTCTTAATGCATGTCTGTAGGGGATCAGTGCTAGAGGAAAAGTCAGGGCATCACCAAAGTTATTTGGATTCATCTCCTGGAAGCCATGAACATCTCCACCAATATTCATAGCAATCCATTTAACAGAAATTTAATCCTGGACTAAATTGGTGAGCCAACCAACTTCTCCCAGGAGTGATGATATCGATGATTCCTCAGCGGAGCTGAAATCAATCTGCTCTTTTAAACTCATCAATAACAACTGTCCGCCAGCTGTAACACTACCTGGCCTGAACGGTCGATTACAATAAGGATGGGAGTACAGAGAGTTTAGTTCAGGTTTGACAGATTGTGATACAGTCAATCATGTATACATGAATAGAAATGTTTAACAAACTTATGAACATAAAATGATGATGCTTCAGAGTTGCCAATTGCTGCACGTTGTCATGGAAACAGCAAAGTGGCACACACGAGACAGTTCATTTTGTGTTTTTTCTTCCTGCAGTAACTTCCTGCTTTGCTGGAGGAGCTATTTTTAAACGAGTGTTATATAAGATGCAACTCTTGTGCTCAATACAATGTGTTATTTTCCCTCTGTTTTATTCCTCTTCATACTCTTGACTGTGATTTCCCGTACCTGTATCCCATGTAGCTCATGACTCACTCGGGGAGCTTCACACGCTGTCAGCGTTAATGGAAAACAAAATTACTAATTTATAATCATCATCATTCTGTAGGAACCGCTCAAGCACAAGGGATCATCTTTGATCATTCATCATCACTCTGGAGTTGTGAAAAATGAGAAAGGAGAAAGATGAAAATATGTGGTGTGTGGTATATAAGGTGTGCAGGCTAATCTTAGCTTCTTTCAGTTTCTCATTGTCATTTGCATTGGATTTAAAATTCCCCCGAAAACAAGAATAAATGAAGCAAAACATCTTCGTCTTATTCTCACTTTCATCTGCAAGAGTAACACCATCTGACAGCAAAGACATCTTCATTCTTTTTGAGATACTACTTGAAATGTCACTTCTCTGATGCCCTAGAAAATAAATGGCTAGTCATTTATTTTGAAATCATTTATTTAGGATTACGTCATGAGTTATTCATGCAATCTGTTCATAAGAAATAAAAAAAGAAAACTTTTGAAATGTTTCTTTAAAGACAAAAGGGAGATAGAGCAGTTTTTTGGAGCAGGATGTGAGCATGTAGCACAGTTTACATGTAATATTCAGCACTCCCAGCTGAGCTCAAAGTGAACGCACACTAACTGTGAAAGAGGCTATGATTAGCCGCTCGACACGCCTGACAGGGAGAAGTGTTGTTCTCCTCTTGTAGACTCTGAGAGACGAGCGTGACAGTATGAACATCCACGCAGGTTTTTGCATGAGTAACGGTTAAACAGCAGTGGACAAAAGGCCGCCAAGTGTTGCAGTGAGTGTCATCACCAGAGCTGATTAAGCCACTTCATGAGGTGGCATCTTGCAACAGTTTACTCTGTTCGCTCCAGCTCCAGCTTTTTGCCTTACTCCCATTCCACATTTCTCTCCTCTGTCCCTAAAGCCAGAGTCCTGGTCGGACCCGCTGTAAATCACTGTACTGTATCAAACTGGAACCGAAAAACTAAACCTGCTCTCTCATTGTCTCCCTCTGCAGGATGCTTCGAGTGCTGCATCAAGTGTCTGGGCGGGGTGCCCTACGCCTCCCTGGTGGCTACCATCCTCTGCTTTTCAGGCGTGGCTCTGTTCTGCGGTTGCGGCCACGTGGCACTGACCGGCACCCTGACCATGCTGGAGAACCACTTCTCCAGGGTCACCAGCGACCACGCTACCCTCGCCATGGTGTAAGTTCTCAGTGTTCAGTTGCTTTACTACAGGAGGCATTGCACAAAATCTGTCTTCATCAATGAAATCAAGCACAAAAACACATGATGGAATAAGATGTTCTGCTTCACAGTAAGTTTCAGAAGGAGCGTGGTTAAAGCTGAATCATTGATGAGATCTTGGCAGCATTAATGGTTTCAGTAGAAACAACAGTATACTGGTGCTACCCCTACAGTTATTAAATCTGTCGACTACAGCCACCCACATTATCTGCCATGATTCAGAATCCCCTAAACTTGCAAATGTCTCTTAACTTAAGTCAGTGAGCATAAATAGGTCTATAAATATTCTAAAAAAAGAAAATAATAGTAGGAGGCGTGTCATCACTCAAAGAGATTTCAAAAAGGCGTATTTCTGGTCCATTTCTTTTAAAATGAACGGTGCTGTCACAGATTCATTCCCAATGTGATACTGTACATATAAAGAATCTATGAAATGTCATTTTTAAAACGTACAATGTCAGATCGTCTCATTAAAGAAAAGCTGTGTCACTTTTGCTAAATGGCAATTTTGGGATAATAGTAAATATTTGACCATCTTGAACGGTCCCTAAAATAAAGGCAAAAACGTTCATGTTATTATAACATATGAACTGACTCCATTGGCCTTAAGCTAGTCATATCTCGCCAAAGTTAGTCAACAATAGTCACCATACCATTATATCAACCGAAGACTGTCTCAATCCCACTAATAAAACACCTGGCTACTTTTATTGACATTTCTGAGCATAATTTTTTGGTATTTGATTACACATTTTTTAAATATCTGGTTCTTACTGCCCTTCATAGTTCCATATTGTAGATGCAGCTTTAAAAGCCCTGTGTTACTGGTGGGATTTTTAACACTATGATTTATTTTCTGTATGTGTGTATGTGTGTTCAGGATCCAGATCTTTCAGTACATTATCTACGGCATCGCCTCTTTCTTCTTCGTCTACGCCATCATCCTGCTGGCTGAGGGCTTTTACACCACCAGCGCCATCAAGAAGGAGCTGCAGAGTGACTTTAAGACTACCGTCTGTGGACGCTGCATCACTGCCTTCGTATGTCAACACGCACGCACACAAACATAAGCAGCTGCTGCAAATCATCACACCCACTGACCCAATTACACTCCAAATTAAAGCCTGTAAATGAGATTTAATTACTTTGATGTGTAATTTATAATGTTCTTGCTTAAAATAGTCTTCACACAAAACACAAAAACATGATGCTTTTCAAGCCAGGACAAGGGTCATCATGAAAGTGTTGCGGAGGCACAATCACACACCTCTGCTACACATTTATGGACACACACACAGAAAGACAGATACACAAGCACCCACACACACACAAACACTCAAGGCCTTGAGGGTAGCTCTGGCACAGTTTGTCCTTTCTAGCCTGATTACTCTAATTGCTGCAGATGTCCAGTAACATTAGCTTAAACACAGACTCTGTGTGTGTGCAGTGGGTGGAGGTCTTTAAGGAATAATATTAACCTATTTTCTTTAATGCAACTCAAACTTTGGCACAAAAAAAAACAACAGAAAAATTGAAATCTCAACTTTCTTTTCACCACAGTTCATGTTCCTGACCTACATCCTCGCTCTGGCCTTCCTCGCCATCTTCGGCTTCACAGCGATACCAGTTTTCCTCTTCTTCAACATGTGGAATACCTGTGCTGCCATGAGGTCTCCTGACGCCAACATTACCTCGCCCGACTCCATCTGTGTGGACGTCCGGCAGTACGGTAAGCTGTCCCCCCTACATTACACTACAGTCCTTTTGCTTATGGTTTGTGACATTCAGTGCATCATTTAAGTTCCTCATTTCCTTTGTTAGTGATTTCCCACGATAATGTTTGGCAAAAACATAAGGGGCATTGTTTTTTCCAGTGTATAAATTAACAACTGTCACAGTTTCAAGGTTCATGAATTTCATCCACTACCACCTTTAATTGCATCAGTAGTAGAAATATCTCAAGCATAACGCCATGGTGAGAAACCCAAGGAATCATGAGCTGTTTCTGAAACAATGATTCAGTATGACAGGGCGGATTATTCCCTTAGTGCCATTGAGCGCTTGTTATTTTATTCTAAACCATTGCTATGAAGATTGACAGCCTCTAAGCAGAGTTCCTCAGCTCATCCTCGACTCATCGAGGCCAGCGTGTCCTTTATGTTTCTGCTCCAGCTCTGTTTCTGCACACCTGATCTAATTAAGGATGACACATTTTCATTACAGTTTAATTGGATCAGGTGTGCAGGAGCAGAATTTGGAGACAGGTGGGCCTTGATAACTGGGTTCATAAAATCACAGTTTTACTGTAAAAGGCTATGTGTCCTACTTCAGTATCATTAACTTTATTGATTTCTTTATCTTCAAAACTAAAGAGGTATCAATTTTATGCTAGCAACAGGGTTTATGGGAAATGTGCTACGTGTAAACTGAACTGAATAAAACAAAAATGTATCTGTTCCCTATTCAGCCAACCACACAATGCTGAAATTTACACCTCACTGGTCAGTTTAGAGCTGGACTCCAGTGACCAGAGCATCAGCTGAATACACAAAACAATGCCTTTACTGTTTGCTAATGAAGCTTTGTATAAAATGGGCTGCCAAAACATAATTATAAAAGAGCAAAAAAAAAAACATATTCATATGCAACATATCACCCCAGGTATTTTGATTCGCAGTTGAAGTAAAAAGGATCCTGTTTTACGTGTTTTCAAAGTTTAAGAGAAGTTCCCCTGATCAAGGGGCCGGCTAGTCTCTAATAAAAGCTTTTTACTTTGCACATAAAAGAACATCCTGGTGCTTGTCCCACTGTTTTTACACATACAGCCCAGGCTTTAATCTGCAGGATAGCAAACTACAGAAAGAACATTTTGCAAACTAAAGTTAAAGCATTACAACTATGCCTAATTTCTGTACAGTTAGCTAATATTAGCCATCATAAGCTACAGTGCTGCTCATATGTAAACAAGCACAGGCTGTAGTACTCAGTGTAATGAATTGATCACATAATCTTGCTTGAGTTAATGTAAAAATACACCCATTATACATTACAACAGAAAGGATTCACTCAGTCCTTACATATATCACATATTTATCTGCAGCTCTGCTTTGCTTTAGATGTAATTTTCTATACCGGAAGAGGTCAAAAATACATTTAGATTATTGAGAGTCTGGTTGGATCTCTATGAAAATCCACCTTCCTGCAGTATTACAGCACAGTAACGCTCTCCTGTGATTGCCTATCTGTTTGATGGCCTAATGTACAGTATGTGACCCACATTTGAAGGACAGCTGGCCCGCTTGCAAAGCAGGATGAGGATCACATATGCTTCATTGGCATTCATGGTATTAAACTGTATGAAATATTAACCCTGAATTACTGGCAGACATCAAATTATCATCAGCAGTTCAAGAGTTGATGAGTGAAAGGTTTTGGTGAGCATTCAAATCTTATAATGTCAATGAAAAGAAGAAAAAGTAAAGGAATATAGCATATAATAAGCTTATGCTAGCCAAAAATGTTTTTACAGTAAAGAAATAAATCAAAATATTGACCTATATTTTCCGGTAGGAGAGGCTCAGAGGCCTGGACAGCAGCAGCCCTCTTTCCTCTAATCTTTATCCAAGCCTAATTCATAATGCCTTCAATCATACAGTCTCGGGGGAGGAAAAAGCTTCTTGTCTCAGATGAGAAAGCGGCAGTCCTGTGATGTTTCATCTCTCTGATCCTGTAGGTATTATTTCCTGGAACGCCACACCGGGAAAAGCTTGTGGAGCCACACTGGGAGACATTTGTAACACCAGCGAGGTGAGAGGACGCTGACCTGACCTTTTCTTTTCTACTTTATCTTTTTCTTCCCGCACTAATTACCTCTTTTCATCTGCAGTTCTACCTGTCCTACCACCTCTACATCGTTGCGTTCGCCGGCGCCGGTGCCACCGTCATCGCATTGGTAAGCTGCTCGTGAACCCACCGATAATGTGCTTCTCAAAATATGCACGTTGCCATGGCGTGCTTATCTGTTGCCATAGCAACCCGCCTCTCACGTTTATCAGGATGTCGCCCTATGGGTTGAAATCCGAGCCTGCAGCCTGCCTCTGCTGCGTGAGCGTGTGTGTAGACAGGGTCAGTGTTTTACTCTGCTGTGGAGGCGGATTGTTTTGTTTTACGTCCAGGGAAAAGGAGATACTAAAAAAAAAAAACGATAAGCACCTCTCCAGATGTTATGTTGGGTCAGCTGAAAGCCCTCTGCACTGTGATGTTTTCCAGCTTACTTTTCTGGGCGGTAAAAATACAGAGGATGAAATAAGCATCTGAGCAAAAGGAGTATGCGTATTCCTTATGGTGTACAATTATATCATTTGACTGTTATTACATTTTCCATCAGCATATCATTAAGAAGATCTGGCACCATTAAATGTTCATTTAAACGTTTTATTTGATTGTTCTGAGAGGGGTTTTCTCAGATGATTTTCCTTTAATTCAATAACTACTTTTCCAATATTTGAGCAGTCGTTCACATTTATTCATCCAATAACTACAACTTCAATGTGGCTGTAATTAAACCCTGAACACACTGCTTCTTTCAAACTGTGCAATGTTACACAACAGCCTTTGAGATGCTGGATATTCACTGATTTGTTCAGAAGGCCAATTTTGTACCATTAAAAAACCACTAAGCTACATTTGGGCAGGTTTTTATGCCCAACAAAGACTACCAGGTGATTTCACTAATGATTACTAATAAGTGGAACCACTGGCTATAATGAAAACCTCTTAACGCTCTACACTATTGTAGTTCTGAGCAGGTTTTAAAATTAAAACTCTGGCCACACTGGAAAAGTGACAATAGTAAGTATACAGTATACTAAACACACTTGATTTTTGTACACAATGTACCCACAATGCAATGCACAAAGGAAATGGAGGAGCTACTCACAGCTTAAAAACATTAAAAAATGTTGTGGTTAGTGGTGAAAGAGCTTTGAAAATTATTTTGTTTTTGGAATAAAAATGTCGCTTTCTATGTGTTTAAATGGCGAGTTGCATGCTGTGTCCTAATTCCACACTACACGGTGTACGGTGTACAGTAGATAGTTTATGTTGATCATTATGAAATCAACATACTAACAGGAACACAGCACATGCAGACCTCAATTAAACCTTTAACAGAGTTAAACTTAAATAATGAATCAAAATGGTTTTCCAAATATTTTATAATTTCTGGAGCGGCTTCAGCACCATCCACAATTGGTTCTAATTTGTTTCAGCTGTTAGCAGCTCTATATACTTGTTATATATATATACATGTTTGCTTTGTTCAGTCCTCCACTGCACTTTATTCCCTTTCCTCAAAGTAAATCAAGGAAACATCTCGGTTTCTCCTCAGATCCACTACCTGATGATTTTGTCGGCCAACTGGGCCTACCTGAAGAGTGCCGTCTCCACGCACGAGTACCAGGACATCAAGACCAAGGACGACCAGGATCTGGAGGCCGAGGCACGCTCCAAGGAGGGCCAGAACTCCTCCTCCTACTCATAAGGACAAGAGATCCTCTCCCGCCACCACCACCCATCTCCTCTCCACACCTCAACCCCCCCACCCTGCAACACCCAGCGCCCACCCCTCCCTCCGATAAAAACAAACCACCTCGGTCATGTTTTATAGTCCCCCAGCCTCCTGATTCTCCATCCTCTTCCCCTCCACGATGTTTATTAAGAGTTGTGGGCTCACACCAGAGGGGAAGAGAATAGAGGATCAGGAGAAGCGACAGGCCCAGACGGAGGCAGATGCTTCAGAATGAGAGAGCTCGCCCGCCGGGGTCGAGCTCAGGTACGATACATCAGTTCAGAAGCGTCTCCTCCCCCGTGCTTTTGGGCGGCGACTCGTGAACGTGGCCCGGCTGTGATGGCCTCGCACCCTGAGCCAGCACAGCCTCTCAACACACAGATCCTAACAGCCTAAAAAAACATTGTTCACTGTCTGCTTCAGCCACAGGGAAGCCAGGCAGCGACCAACTTCCTCTGTTTTTTTTTGGTGTTTTATATGCATATATATATGAATATGAATATATTGTGCGAATGTGTACGAATGTTGTTGTTTTTTTTAATACTCTCTGAAAAGTATGCCAGGTACTATTATGATCTTTCTTCTTCTTCTTTATGTTTTTGCGCTCATAGGTTTTTTCTCCTTTACTTTCTCCTCCATCTTAAACTTTTTATTGCTAATGCTCAATACGTTGTTGCACTATTACGAAACAAAAAATTAGGGAGAACGAAAATCCCTTAAAAAAAACAAAAACAAAGCACCCCAGCCCCTCCGCCCCCTCGCTCATAGAAATACCTAAAAGACTCAAATCATGTTGTATCTCAAGGATTATTAGTGCATTTACATGACCAGAGTTTATTTATCCACCAAGGTATTAACCATTCATTTAAGATCAGAGGAGGTGTAGCAAACTTTTATAAAAGGATTAGTTATGGGAAATGCGCTTATTCGCTTTCTTGCCGGGAGTTAGATGAGAAAATTGAGACCAACTTGATATTTAACGTACAACATGAATGTGGTCTCAATCTTCTCATCTAACTCTCAGCGAGAAAGCAGATAAGCGTATTTCCCAAAAAATGTCAGACTATTCCTTGTAAGACCTTTTTTCAGTTTTTGCTACACTCATCACCAGCGGCAGCAGAAATCAAAATCTGTCTGGGTTTTTTAACACAGAAAAAAAAAGACACACACCTCAGGTATCAAACCAAATCTGATTTTAGCCAGTTGTGTTCTTTTCCAAAGCTTCACCATCTAAACATTAAACCTACCGGATTGGTACACTGTCCTGTGTGAATTATACAGTAAAAACCAGTTCTGTCATTTTCTAAAAGTCCTCCTTTTGCCAATGAAGTTCACCTGTAAATAACTGACTCACCCTAAAAGATCTCAATTTACACCTCTCCCAACACAGGGAGAACACAGTCAGTGTTTTGCCATACTCTTCTATTATTTTTTTCCACAGATATATGTAAATGTACCCTTTGAGATATGTGTTTAGCACTCAAATACTAGTTCTGCATTTGATATAATAATTGTAATGTAACATCTTTAAATGATATGTCGTGAGAGGGATACAGTGCAGCAGTGCAGTCATGATATGATATGATGGATTGAGGTGCTTGTGACGTATACATTTTAAAATGTGAAAAAAAATATGGAAATTGATTTTTAATGTTTTATCAGTTTTAGGCAGCTGAGTTCTTCTTGTGATTCAGTAATAATGATTTTATTGAACTTGTTTGTGCTTATTTTTGGATGGCCAGCCAAATGAGTGACTCATCAACATTGTTGAGTTGAGAAAAATGTCACTTTTTTGATTTTTTTTCCCTTTTGGTTTTATTTTGAACATCATGCCTCTCATATGAGCCACAGAGACTGTTTTGGATGTTTACACTCTGAATAAAAACAAGTCAGGAATTTTCATACATTAATTTTATAATCAGATATTCTTTAATAATCATGAACTATATTCTATATTGATCATCACTGGTTAGTTTACCCTAAAAGAAAAGAAAAAAAAACACTGAAGAAGACAAATTTTTGAACTTTGATGAGATGAAGCATGTCAGTATTGTCCATGTGTGCAGCTGTCTATTCTGTATAAAAAAGGACTATATTGCCATGTGTGTTATGTTTGATAAATATACGTGCTTTGCTGGCAGGTTGATGTAAAGGCAAACTTCAATTTCCTATAAGACGATGCGTGTCAGGGTGTTGTTGTTTCCTCGTTATTTGCATGAAGGAGACATGACTGTGTCTTTGCAGTTTTTCAGGTGATGTGTAGTCAATTGTACTGACAACTATGGTAGGCGGTGTTTGCCCCCCTCCTCCACACTTCCCCCCCTTTCCACCTACTCTTTTCTAAAGAAAACTCCATTGTACTTTGATGGCATTGTAGTCCCTGTAGGTGTTCATTATGGTTTTATTTTTTAAGTTGGAAATAGTTCTATGACTCCTATATAGTGATGATTTTTGTAACCTTCTCTAGTAAAACCGATATTTTTTATTATCGTGACACCGTTGTCGCCTGTCTCGTTCTTGTGTTTGGGTCTCTTGAATTTCTGTTTATGGAAACAAACCCGTATTTAAAAATCAAAGTGAAAGCATACAAGGTATTGCTTTAGAGCTGGAACTAGTGAATAGTTGAATTTGAATTACATACGAAGTGTTTGGGTTATAAAAGCATCAAACAACAGTGAAAAATGCCCATTAATATAGTCAAAAATTCAAAAACATTCAATTTAGTAATGTAAGACAGTGAAAAATCATCAATTCCTTACACGCAAAAAGTTGGAAACATCATGTTTGGCATTTCTAATGATTCTCAACATATTTGCAGATTAATTTTCCATCAACTGACTTGAAGTTTTATTGCTGTAGCTCTAATAAATAAAAAAGTTAGAAAAATCCTCCATGTTTTTTAGGTCAGCAGCATTTGGCCTCTGCAATTAAGAAGTAACTTGCAACAGGTGATGCTAATTGACTTAATTAGACACCGCCTGTGAAAACACTTTTAATAGACAAATATCTCACTTCCAAGGAAAAGCGATGTTGGTTTATTAAAAAGTTGGTAGAAGTTGCAAGATGGCTTTATTCATTTCTTTCTATTGAGACATGAAATGAGAAATAAAGATGTGGTCTTACATTACTACAGACTGGACTTCACTGAGGAAGTTTAAACATGCTCCACATCCACAGTACACCCACACAGCTGATTCCACTCTCTACCTTTCATCTGAACTATGTGGGCAGACTCGCTCTGATTGACATCTCCCTCATTCTCCCCTCAATTATGTTGCTCTTTTATGTAAAGTATATATATATATATAGTCCACATTATTCAAAGAAAAGCTCAACATGGCCACTAAGTGAAGACTCCTGTGTGGGTGTGCAGGGCCTTTGATCAATACCTAATGCTGGAATTCAACATCTCTCTTTGTAGGACAGGAATTAGCATTTGAGATTTACCAGTGTTACTATGAAGTCACAAACTGGGCGTTTATCTCTCACTGCTGATATGTGGCTCTACCTTGTGGAGAAAGAGGGTACTACACCTCAAATTACAAGAGAAACACTAAATCCCCTCATGATATCACTGGTATTACCAATATTGAAATTAATAACATTTTTAATATCTCTGGTTTGGCAGAAAATCAAATTTAAAAATGACTTTTAAAAACAATGAAATCTAGTTTGTGTGATTTAACCTATAAAATCTGCACCAAAGTAGTGAATCTTATTAGTTTTCTTACCAGAGAGAGAGTGGCATTGACTACATTTAGTTCTTATTAATAATTTGATTGACCACATACATTTTATTCTGTATGTCAACAGTTTGAGTTATAGATGGAAGTATTTGGGGTTTGTAAACCTCTAATAACTGCAAATATGACGTTTTATGCACATAGTTTAATTAAAAAAACATTTAAAAGCACTTACAACATTGGTAACATTGCTTTCTAATGGTGGTTTCTTTATTAAGAGACCTGAAAATCATTTTGGGAGTGTTAGAAGCTTTCAATCTAGTATTTAAAATTCTGGGTGAGGGGATTACTGGAATGTTTTATGAACAGGAATCAGCAATAAATCACTTTAACACAATCAATATTTTCAAAATATACGTAAACGTGGTTGTATAGTTTCTGCCGAGTCCTGCATCTGCTTCTGGAGGAGGAACATAATCTCAGGACTTCTCTTTTTGTGGGCTAAAATGTCTAACCACAGCTGCATCAGTGACGTCAAACCTTTAGTTTAACCTTGTTTAGAAAACTGTTACTGCTTTAGGTGACACAGTTTAGCTTTTACCAAAGAATCCTTTCAGCCAGTTGCATACACCTCTGATACAACTGAGGTTCATCACTGACCACAAATGAATCCATAAAACCTGCAAAGACAAACTGTATCAGAGATTTAATTTTATTAACTGTCCATCAATGCTTTGTATAAATTGATAACCATGCAAATACAGTCTAAATCAGAGTTGGGAATGGTGTGTGGAGAGTTTTGTTTCCCTCGTGTGGTGAAAATGCAAAATATTGGCACAAAATAGTCCATTTTGGTCTAAAAAATATCAATATTTGTTTTCAAATGCAGGTCCTAGTCAAAAGTTTATCTGAGGACATCACATACGGTAGTCACTGAACAAACACCACTTCCTCTTTTACAGAGTCATAACCCACGCTCCATACACTCAACTGCAGGAGCATCATATGAGCTCCTGCTGGCAGTCACACAGCGCTCAGCAGCAGGAGGGGTCAGGGGGAGTCTTCCTCTGCAGGTCCACTGTGTTGGTGTGGATCAGGTGATCGGCTCGGTCGTCCAACGCCAGAATGCGGCGTACAGCCTCCTCAAAGGCCGATGCTACGTTTGTAGCATCCTTGGCGCTTGTCTCAAAGTACGGGTGGCCGCCGTTCTCGCGGCACCACTGTCGCGCATCTTCCCCCGACACCTGCCGCTCGGGCACGTCCAGTTTGTTACCCAGCACCACAAAGGGGAAGTTGTCGGGGTCCTTCACGTCAGCGTAGTAAGTGAACTCCTTCTTCCAGTTGGACAGGTTGTGGAAGCTCTGTCCGTCGTCCACGCTGAAGGTGAGCAGGCAGCAGTCGGAGCCGCGGTAGAAAGGCGTGCGGAGGCTGCGGAAGCGCTCCTGACCCGCCGTGTCCCAGATCTGCAGAGTGACATGGTGGCCGTCCACCTCCAGCTCCTTGTTCAGAAACTCCACGCCAATGGTGTGGAAGAGGTGCGAGTCGAACTTGTTGGTGACGTAGCGGTTCATGAGCGATGATTTGCCGACGCCGCCGTCGCCCAGGAGAATCACCTTCAGGAGGGCTGACTTGGACGTCATGGCTGCAGAACCGGGTCAAAGTTTGGTCTTGCTGGTCTGAGGTCTGGAGACAGCAACAATGGAGACAGTAACACCTGAGGAGCACAAGAAAGCAAAACAAGAGTAATTTTAGTTGCAGCCTTACTCTAGTCATATAAAAATCCACCTCAGATAACTTAAGATACTTATAACTTATGTTACTTTTTGTAGCTGTACTTATGTAACCTTTTTTTGTTTTAATTAATTAATAATTAGTTTACAAATCTTTAAGAAAATGAATGAAAATTGAAATTGTGATGCAAAAATGTTAATTCCCATAATAATCGTGAATAATAACTGATTGAGATAATTGCAATATTACACAGCCGTGCACCGTGGACAGTGGGGGTCTGCATACTAATACCTTTCACAGTATGAACGCATGAACAAGCAGAGGTAATGATTGACTTTACCCGCATACTGCTTCTAACTGGTCGGTCTTTATGCCTGCTAACACGACAGGATAACAACCGAGTTATGCCTCCATTTTGTTCAGGAGTGGCTCTGATTTTTCACCTTTGGCCTCTCTGATATGGTTGTGCTTAAGATAAGAACAAACTGCTCCTCAATCAACTTTCACTTCCTGTAAGCAGCTAATTGTGACTGTTTCCTTCACACTCTGAGAACTAATTCAAGTCAGTCGACTAGCTAATCCTATTAAACAGCCACAGCCCACTCATTACACTTTACAGCTAATGAACTTCCTACACTGTGTGTAATATGTTATGCATGAAATGATCCGTGCTGTACGTCACATGGACGCCGATCACAGGACCAGTGAGTCGCCCCCAAGTGATGCAATATGCAAGTCAACAACAGAGGGAAGATATTAGGACAATTTCTCACCGTTATATCAGCACGCAGATGCCATTTTATCAACAATCTGTAGGAGAGAGAAAGAGAGAGAGTATTTAACTTCACACAGATTAAGTGGCCGAAGGAGTTTACCCACTCACAGGCTCAGCTGCAAAGAAAAGTGAGGATTTAAGCAGAAATTTAATCACGTACCACACACTTCGTACTTAACATACCAGTTCAAGCTAAATAGCAGTCATTCCACCCACATACCAGAGCAAATCTCTGAGATGAAGGTGGGAAATCTCCCCGAGAGCAGGTTTAAATGGGAGACGAGGAGGAGCTCTGTTATCTCATCCATCGCAGTTAAGATGGACACTGATCCATCTCTGGCTGTGTGTTAAAGGAATACTCTACCAAAAATCTATTGAGTGTAAAACACTCCTGAATTGTTTTAAATACTCACAGTTTCTCCACAAGAACATGTCTCATGTTACGCTACAAGCCTACAGTGGGTGACTATATAAAATACTCCAAATATAGATTCTCGGTGGAGTATTCCTTTAAACCTATTGAATTTGTAACTTAAAGTTAAACTTAGCATCACGTTTTATTTTGAAGGGTCTCAAGGGTACATGCAAGTATGGCTACAACAACCAGGAGATAATATTCTGCTGATTACTATGTTTGTCTATAAAATGTACGAAAAAAATGCAAATTATGATAATTAGATATGTTCAAATGACTTGTTTTTACCCGATCAACAGTCTAAAACCTAAAGATATTCAGTTTACTGTCACAAATCACAAAGAAAAACATCAACTCGTCCCATTTAGAAGCTGGAACCAGTGAACATTTGCCATTTTTACTTTAATCGACAATCAGAATTTGACAATTTCTGATTACGTAAAGACTTGAGGAACAAGCTGCAGCAAAAACAACCTCGAACATCATCCTTCTCTGAAGTGTGCAAATTGTCTTATCGCACGCACAAACACATGACAGCAGCGGTATGACATTAGGATTATCTACATATCTACTAATGTGCTTTATGTGTCTGATTTTCAGTTTTTGATATGTAGTTTGAGTAGATTAATGTTTATATTAATTAACCAACACAGTTTTTTCAGAATAGTTGGTAAATGAGTTGTTAGATTAATCAACTAATCAAATAATAATCGTTTGATTAATCGATTAATAATTAGGTGCAGCCCTAGCTCTAGTTGTACTACTGGAAATATTGTGCAGTAAATAAAGACATAAAATGTAAGACCATGACTGCAAGTTTAATATGTCATTCAACGGTCTAATTTGTGTAATATAGGTCTATTAAAACAAACAATAGCCCCTACTACTGTCCACTGTACACGCAGTCTGCAGCCAGTTAGGACCAAGTTGCTTGCCAGTTGCTTGTTAGGAAAAGTTAGGCTACTTTGCAGAATAAATACATGAATGAAGTTCAACTCTGCTGTGCTGAAGGAACTGTGCACTGTTACACAAACTGGCAGCAATAAGCAGCCCAAGGACCAAGACTGGGGGACATGATGTCTTTATCCCGA